TTTCATGGAAATCTCTGCTGGTGCATCTTGGAGGTGGTTCCTCATGTGGTGGATCTGACAATTGTGTTAGCTAACCACTGTCAGAATATTGTTTAAGCGGTTCAGGTTGACCTGTTAAATCTTGATCCATCGCACGGGTTGAAGAAGCCAGTGCTGACGAAGGTTTAATACGTGCCTGATTTCCGTTTCAATGAATGCAAATCTGGTGTCTTTGAACAAGTCACTTTCCTTAAATCCTCATCCAAAATGTGTGACTGATCTGTTACAGCGAAGACATGAAAAAGAAAATCATCTTTCCTGAATTTTTGCAGTTTGAATGATGGCGCAGTGTGAGTCTTGAGAAATCTTCATCCAGTGCCCTAACCATTTCTTTCAACATCAGATCCTCCAGCATCGAAGTGGGATGAGACCAGGTGAAGGCGCAACTGACACAAGACAGTCTGCTACCCACTCGGACATGTGCTAAGCTAAGATGGGGGGGTAGGAAGGCACTGCGCTCAGCGCAAGCCCTTGAGAAGCGACACTGTAGATGATGGCTGGATTGTGGCTTGTGTCTGGCCTACCCCATGGGGCCACAGTACTGACCGAAGATAACGGATGAATAGTAATAACTGAAGATTGTAAGTAGATCGCATCCTGCGACTGACACATCTTCCTTGCAACACGACGGGACTGCTACGTTTGTGAGTGACCTGTCTATAAATAGCAAAACTAGATGGAAATAGATGTGAACTAAAATAACATTTAAAATTTGCAGTGCAAATCCGAGTGCAATCCAAACAATGTGGATGAAGATGATTGGAAGATTTTTTTACGACAATTTGTACACCGCGGAAGCATACTTTACGCAAAGAGAGAGTTGTTGATTAATACGGATTTGAGAAATTGCTGAAGAATTTTTACAAATATCTAGCAGCAGATACAACGGGGAAAAACAATGACAAAGTCTTTTTACATGAAAATCACCAACATATTAATACACAAAACAGTGACAGTAATATGAAAGGAATACATCACCCATGGCAGATATAATTTAGTGTGTTAGCTGAAGCTAAATGCCTAAAACAAATTAAAAAAGTTGAGCACAGGTGAGACGCGTCATAACTGTTACGCGACAGGCAGTAATGTGAGAGGTGATTTGCCATCAAGGTCACATGACAGTCCTTGCAAAAAGCAGGATTTAAAAAAAACAAAACTTTTTCTTCACCCAAGACCATAGCTAGGTGCTGTCTTTGTTGTCGTAAGGTAAGCAGTAAATGCATTTAGAAGTAATGTATGATAAGTAAAACAATAATTATTGAATTAACAACTGTAATTATGAACAGTTACCGAAGCTCACCTTTCACATTAAACTCATGAAATGTTATATATCGCAGTTTGACACTTTCAACCATAGTCTACCAGAAGTGTTTGCTGCTGTGACAAGTTGCCAGTGACTCTAGGATGTAGATTTATCAAGGAAAATATCAGCTTGTAAAAAATCTTTGCTACTGCATGTCATACACCATTTGAGAAAGAGTGAGTATGGTCTTATGCCGTTTTAGCAATATTCCAGCAATATCATGGCTGGGGACACCGGAAAAGGCCTTCACACATTGTACCCATGTGGGGAATCGAACCCGGGTCTTCGGCGTGATGAGCCAACGCTTTAACCACTAGGCTACCCCACTGCCCCCATCTTTGAGAGGTCTAATCTTATTGTTCATAAATATGATAGTTATTTTTATGATACTTACAAATTAAGTTTGTATTTAATTTTAAAAAGTAAGCTAACACATCCATAATGTCAAGATAAAGGACACAGGAAGCGCAAATCATGGCAATATTTTGCCGTAATCTGCTATAAGGATCGTGTTTGGTCAAATTCAAGCATGTGACCTTAGACAATCAAATTACAGCAATGGAAACTGTCCTACTGTATAATAATCTTCAGATTTTGGCTAAATTGTGTTAATCTGAATGTTTTATGCATGAACTCGCGACCTATATTTAAAATTTGGAAATTCATGGACATATTGTGCTAGGTTACAAACAGTGAACTTTCTACATGAAAAATGAGATGTCGTTTGACTTACATTACATGATCGCAACAACAAAATGGAAATAGTAACTTAGATGTAAGTTTGACTTTTTTTAGAGATATTTTTCTTGATTACATTTAATACTTTATTTAATTTATTGAAAGATATGCTTGAATCATCTTTATTTTGCTCTGATTTTTCAATAGGGACCTGTTGTTGAAGCATGTGGGCCTGAATTTCTTTTTCAATAATACTGAGGGAAATAGTTCATAAGTTAAACCTTTCAATAAAATATGATGAATTGAAATGAACTATATATTTTCAGACATTGTGAAAAGTGATAGATTTAATAAATGAACGATGTGACAGGTAGGGTAATAAAATTACCTATTATTTTGAAATGGCTATGGTGTGGAGGGTTTTCAATTTTGAGGACCAGAAAAAAGATTCTGTAGAAAGAGTCGGCTTATGTATGGGTTACACTTTCATCAAAGTCTTTCTGCTGGCATTAAAACTACATCGTATCGCTTCAGATTAATGAATAATGCTGTAACAAACTTTGTCAATGAAAATGTGAAATTGATGATTCACCATTCGATTGTATTTCTTGATATGCTTGGCATTGTTTTATATGCAGGAATAAAGATTATCATGTGCATTGTCTCATAAACTAAGGCGGAAATAGCAATCAGCTGAACACACATGTTCTCCCAATCTACTGGTGATTAGGTTAAAACATACCCAATAATATAACGGAAAAGAATTTTGATGCAATGATCGGAAAAAATAGTGTCTTAAATTACTATTATACTGCAAATAATGTATTCTGATATCATGTTATTTTAATTGAAAGTTTTACTTTATATCTTTAAACTAATGATAACCATAACCAGGGTTATGCGATAGCACTTTTGTGTATTGTCAGATACTTTTTTTGCATGGAACAATTTGACAAATCACCGTTGAGGATTCGCGCGATCTTGCTATTTCTATCACAGAAACAATATGTTGAAATTTAATCATCAAACTACAACAAATATTACTTTTAGTTGGTTTTACAAGGCTTTTAGCAATATTCCAGCAATATCACGTCAGGGGACACCAGAAATGGGCTTCACACACTGTACCCATGTCGGAATTCGAACTCGGGTCTTCGGCATGAAGAGCGAACGCTTTAACCACAAGGCTACCCGACCGCCCCTAAACATTACTTTTAACGAGTCAAAGTATGGCAGTAATGATAAATGTATCCATTTTGTCAGCTATGGTTCGTTTGAAGGTGATATGATCGTGGTTGCTGTAAATAACGGTGAGTTGGTAAAGCAGACCTTATGGAATGGGGCAAATGTAAGTTGTAAGTACCGATTGGACACCAAAATTAATGTAAATATTATTGATGAAGGTTTGATTAAAATTAATAAAATAGATTACGAAGATTACAAACATGTCATATTTGTTTTAGTTTGACTGTTACATGTCAACAGAGTTTTTGCGAGTGTGAGAATCAATGGTGACCGGTTATATTGCTCTAAAAAACAAAATATCCGGCAATAGCGATCAGCAGTACCAAAGTTGTTGCCAAACTTATGGTTATTGTTATTTGAAATATATATAGCCAAGATGCAACTAAAATAACACAATATTGGAATATATTACTCCTGATACAATTATTTTATCAAGTACAATTCTTCCGATAACTGCATCAAAATTCTTTAAGTTATATTATTGGGTATTTTTAGCTGATTCACCGGTAGATTTCGAGACACAATGTTAACAGCTGAGTGCTGTTTCTGGCCTAGTTTATGAGAAAATACACACGTGATCGTTATCTCTGCATATAAAACAATGCCTAGTAGTAATGGAAATACAATTTAAACGGTAAATCATCATGACTAGTGATGGTTTACCTCAAAATTCAAATTTGTATTAACCAAATTTATCACCTATTCGTTTAGCAGAATTTGTTGAAGGGATACAATGTAAATAAAATTACTTCCAAATACCTTTCAAAGAGTTTTAACAATTCTGCTCATAATAATCGAATTATTTTCCAAAAAGAATAATGAATAATATAGAGGGGGTGCGCTTAATACAATAGACACACATGTTCGATGAAAAAAAAGTATTATTTATTGTTTATTGACTTGTTTACACAAGAGTAGTAATGCAGATGTGCATGCCTAAAATGAAATCCTAGTACTCCAAGTGTACTCATTAGTTTTGACAGTACTCCTATACTGAAATAATAGCTGCGCCCAAAATGTAGTATTTATGGCTATGATGAAATGAGGTAATGTCTAACCCTCTTCTCTCTTTCTTTGGACAGTTAGATTAAATAATTAAGATTTTTGTTAACAATTAAATGCTCTCAATATAGAACAGACATACTTTCGGACAGATTCCAATCATAAATACAAAGATTTTAATACACCTAATTCACACTGGGTGACCATGACCTTCAATATCATCCAATCATATGTCAAAAACCTTCTCAAGGGTTAATAGAAGGTAAAACAGGTGTGAAGCCGCTATCGTGTCATAAGTACATGTCCCTACAGGAGACTGTTTAATAACAAATTTCTACATTCTCAAAGGCTTCCCAATAAATTTTACATTTACACATGCATAACTGGCTATGCAGAAGGATAAAATTATGTGTTCATCCTGATAGCCATGGCACTATTGATGCGACAGCAGTATAAGAACGAAAAAGGTTGAAGCTGTGTCAAAGATCACAATACACAGGAAAATACCAAATTTGTCATGATCTTAATTTCTTTAAAAATATTAGCACACACATTCTGTGAGCACTTTCCAGGGACACCATTGTGATCATCCATGCAAAGTTTCAGGTCCATAGGCCTTGTGTTTTCAGAGATTCTGAATACAATTGGACAGAGGGATGAATGAAAAGATCATTAACATGACAGGAGACATTATATAAGCTCTACTTTGACAAGTGTGAGAATAGCATTTCACCTTATTTGGATTTGTTGGGTGTACTGCAATAGCCTCTACTGCTCCTGGATTTACTTTGAAGTCATCAGGAACACTGTAATGGAGAAAATTGTGAACATGAACAAACATTCAGAACGCTAACCACAAAAATTTAGCCAAAAGATGGCAGAGCAAACCGAAGCACAACTTTCCAGTAGCACGACGAGCAGGAAGATGATTTCATGTGACATCACAAGTGGTCACATGACAGCGACAATGGGTCCTGCAAAAAGTAGACTGAAGATGGAAACAGCCTTTTTCTTCACCCAGGACCATCGCTAAGCGCTGTCTTTCTTTGTCGTAAGGTAAGCAGTAGATGCATTGAGGGGTAATACAGGATAAGTAAAAAATTCTTCACTTAAAATTTTGATACTTTTTTCAAAGGAGTTTTTTTGTTAATAATATTAGTAAAATCCTAGATATTTTATGTATTTGTACACTTATCCTGTATTTCTCCTTAATGCATCTACTGCTTGTTCTTGACAGAGAAAGAGCTGTGTACAGTCTTGCTGAAGAAGAAGTTGTTTCAACGAGCTGAGTGGCCAACCCTATCACACAGCTCCCATGTGACCAATAAAGGGGTGACATCACGGATGAGCACATTACTGCTAAAAACTGGAAGATCTAAAGGCATTGTGGAGAGGTAGCACTGCGATGGGTGGGTCAATTGTTATGCAGGATATTAATACAAACATAAATAATACCTAGGATAACACTAGATTTTTTAACTTATCCTGCATTACCCCTTATCCGATGGATTGGTAGAGGGCATACCTTCAGAAGTGTACTTCAACAAAACCCTCACCCGATAGCGAAGGCGATGTCTGGCATCGAGCGACCATTCCTGTTGACAGGAAGGGAGAGAGTTAGGTATTCGTGAAATCCAGGTATCGATGCAGTGATAGAAGATAAATGAGATTAAAATCTAGAACTGATGTAACAAGCCTAATGCATGTAGCATGTAGCCTTCCAGTCAGGCCTGACACGCACCGGAGAGGTCGCAAAGCGGCTCTGAATATGTGGAAGTGTCTATGGTGTGGTGACCAGCTGGGCAACCACCAAAGGGCCAAAGCTGCGTACACATTCAACATCTTCTGATGTGACAAATAGTGGCTGGCAAAGACAGTGTCTGGACCCCAGAAAAAGCCTTCCATAATGGCGCGTTTGGAGCAGTTGCTGTAAAGCGTCATGGTGGAGGTGACCGCCCTGATCTTGTGAGGGTTGCTGGCTCTCAGAGGGTCCTGCGGCCTCATATGCCTGAAGGATGATGGCTCAAAGCCAGAGAGCGATTGTGTTACGGCTGACTTCAACATGCTATGTCGCTGATACTGGTATGAGGAGGCTGTGGCGTTGTCAACGACACGTCTTGGAGTGTCTCATAAAACATTGCAGCACCCTCACCTGACAAAGGAGTTCCTGTTTGTCCTCAGCTCCCACTATCAAAGAGAGGGACAGAATGAGGAAGGATCTGTTTGGCTGTCCTGCATGTTGGTTCTTGGCTAAAAATCCAAGCACAGTCAAAGATGAACAGCTCCATGCGCCCCTTGCTCACTTACACGTGCCGCAGGAGCATGAGACAGTATGAAGACCATCTTCTTAGTCAGGTAAAAGAAAGAGTGGTTCAAAGGTCATGCCTCTCAGTAGGACGAGGACCGCGTTCAGATCCTATGCTGTTGGTTTAAACTGAGCAAAGTAATGCTTGGAGTTCAGGGATCTTCATCATTTTCCGATCTTCTGGAACCGCAAAAACAGAGTTGAGGGCCACAAGGTATGTCACGATAGTGCTTCCTTTCAGACGACACTCGTAGCGCAAGAATAGTTGGTTGTTGGTTGTTTGGTTTGTTGTTTAACGCGGCACTCAGCAATATTCCAGCTATATGACGGCGGTCTGTAAATAATCGAGTCTGGACCAGACAATCCAGTGATTAATGTCGTGAGCATCGATCCACACAATAGGGATCTATGACATGCATCAACCAAGTCAACGAGCCTGACCACCCGATCCCGTTAGTCGCCTCTTACGACAAGCATGGGATGCTGAGGACCTATTGTACCCCGAATCTTCACGGGTCTGCAAGAATAGAAGAAACTCGGCCAAGAATTGGGGAGACGCAGAGGTGGGGTCCTGGTGTTTTTCCTTGCAAAAAATTTCAAAGGAGCGCCACTTAACGTCGTACAGACTTCAGGTAGCCCTAGCCGAGTAACCCATGACACTAAGTCTCTTTGTACATGGACCAGACGTCCAGACGTGTAGACGTGTAACCTATCTAGAGCCGGGTGTGGCTATTACTGTTCGGGTGGATCAGTAGATCTGTGAGCTGGAGAGGGTCGGTGGCTATCTCTGTGAGAACAACCAACCCCCTGCTGGCCACCAGGGCAGAACCAATGTCAGATCGAGGCTCTGCGTCTACCTGATCTTCTGAAGAACCCTGAGAAGGAGTACTGGAGGCGGAAAACCATACGCTTACGCTGAAGGCATCGACTGCCCAAGCCTGACGGTCCGGTACTGGCAATATGAAGGTCCGGATGTGGTAGTTCTGGCTGGTGGCCTGTTGGGATGGCCAAGACGCAGAAAAACATGAGTGAAGGCATGGGGCTTCTGGGTGGGGCTTCCACTCTGTGGGTGCGACTGTCTGGCCTGGAGAGGGCATCTGCCAGAATTTTGCGACAACCTGGATAGGTGAACAGGTGAAGAGTCTTTGCTGCAGGAGCAAATTGGAGTGAGTTGTTCCCGGATTTTGGAGACACCAGACGATGGTGATGTTATCCGTTGATATGGTGATCTGTTTGCATTGGAGAAACTCCAGTTTCCAGTGATAGAGCCAGTTTGAGGGCCTCCAGTTTGAGGTTGTTGATGTGCCGTTGTTGATGTGCCGTTGTTGATGTGCCACTGGTGTTGTGCGGTGGACCACAGCCCCGAGGCAACTTGACCCTCCAGATGCGCTCCCCATTCTTGAAGAGAGGCATTGACAAATAGGTGTAACGAGGTCTTTAACTCTGTGCCTTAGACGTTCAATTCCACCGTCAACCACCGGAGAGGAGTTTTGAGGTGGTTGATGGACACCGACCTTGTGTTGGCGCGATGAAGGTCCTATCAAGAGAGTGGGCATGATCTGCAATGTCGAAGGAATGGACAGGGAAATCCTCCTTTCTGTACTTTGGAGACTTGGATGAGGGTCGGAGAGATAGATAAGCGAAATCCTCATCCAGAGCAGCAATCATGTCATTGATCATGGGGTCAGGTGGGACAGATGTAGGGTCAGGCCAGATAGTGTCTTTCTTGATGACCCCCAACCCTGGGGAAGGTGCCACTGCCTCCAACAGGTCAGCGATCCAGTCTGCCACCTGGTTTAGCCCAAGGTGGAGTCAACTTCTGATACCGATCCCTCATACGTTGGGATAAAGGAGCCTTCTGATGAGTCCTATCTAAATCCCCTTGACCGTTGAACTTGAGAGCAGCTCTGAGAATGGCGCCTAGACAGTGAGGACTTGCTCCTTGTGGAAAGGCACCAGGCAAGGTGGAGTCATGGGATAAGGTGGACCGCACTGTAGAGGCACCACATAAGTCCAGTCTAAGCGTGTGTGAGTGCGACTGTAGAGACACCTGTGCCGCACCCGTGGCAGAGACTGTTGCAACATTTGCATAAAGTGGAACAGAGCTCCAGATAAGCTTTTGGAGCGGTGGGTATTTTACCCATGCATTTTAAAATCATTGGGTATCAGTAATTCTATCTGGGTATTCAAATTTCTGTTACCCACTAGTTTTTACACATGTGCGTATTTAAGTTAAATATTTTTAAAAAATATTCATCTAGTCCCTGCAAGCTGGTGTCGAGTGGGTTTGAGAGCTCTTAAGACTCAAAAATACCACGATACTTCCACAAGAAAGTGTGATGGCAAATGATCATGATGTAACTGTCATCGTGGAATTTGGAAAGGTTGACGGAATGCCCGTTTATAATTTCAAAATAAGTTGCTGATTTGCTAATCAAATACGCAGCGTTACTGCACAATATTTTGATGATTCACACAAGTTTTATTTTTGTAACGTATCTGTAATGTTCGTTGCGTATTTGATACGCTTGGATTTTATTTTACTGCATATTTCTGCATATCTGATGTGTATTTTACTTTAGCTTATCTGGAGCTCTGGTGGAACCACTCCAAGTCTATATAATGTGTCTGGTACATTTGGGGAGGTGTCTGTTGATAGGGAGGAAGCCCAAAGCCTGGAGGCGCTTGGAGCTCCTTGGAGGGATGGTGATTCTGAGGAAAAGTCATAGTCGGGTCCATAAGCACCATTGTAGCAGCGGGGTCATAGAGGTGAATATAAGGATGCAGAATGCATGCCACAAAAAAAAAGTGTGACCACGGACAATATTCAAGATGGCTGCTTGAAACAACAAAACCACACCCTTACCGTGATAAAACCACCACCAGGCGATAAATATTCATGCAATGGTGTAAATCATATGAAAGATATGAAAACACAAACTGTATGCACAATATAGTTCACAAGAAAAATCCCTAGTTATCAACACACAAAGGATTCAATGAAAATGGGCGACAACAGTAATGTGCTGATTCGTGACGTCACCTCTTCCGTGGTCACATGGGAGCTGTGTGATAGGGTTAGCCACTCAGCTAGTTTAAACAACTTCTTCTTTCTCAAGGTTGTACACAGCTCTTTCTCTGTCAAGAAACAAGCAGTGGATGCATTAGGAGTAGTGCAGGATAAGTTTAAAAAATCTGATGAAATACATTGCTGCTCACCAGGTACATTCAAAGTGAGAACACTGTTCTGTGAGGTCTTTAGCTACAAAATAATGGTTAAGGAGAGTGAAGCTGTTGTAATGTGGGTTGTTTGAATTGAAAAACCATTATGATATCAATGTAATATTCTTTTTAACTTTAGAAAACATTTTTTTGTAACATACTTAATAGGCATACAGCCACAAAACTCTGCAGCTCACCTGACTTCAGAAGAAGTCAAATCACTTCAGGTGAAAACTTAGTAAAAGGAGAAAAACAAGTATTTTTGCAACACCTTTCATGACAACAATGTTGAGTTGAAACAGTGATGCCTTTGAACAGACTTGGATCTCATAGTCACGCCATTCACACAAAGTTTAAGGCCCATCCCATGTGCTTCTTAAGAATACGATTTTTAAACTTGTTGAAAATTTTGAGTCTCTAAATATCACACTAATTTGAACAAGACCAGATAGAACCTGCATGCCAAATTTCAGCTTCATCAGTCAAGCGGTATCAGAAAATATCTAAGAGAATGGTGCAAAGGTCATAACTGCAAAGGTCAGTGTTGGGGTGACTTGGAGTCACAGGGTCATGTATCTTGAAGTACATGAAAGATCCCTCTTTGCTGTAGGAAGAACTATTTCTTTTCAAAGGCAGGTTTGGTTTCTATGTCAACCATATGCAAAAACTTACTTTCTGCCATTGCTCCCCAATGTGTCACAGGAATAGGCCCATGTGGTTTATCCGATTCATTTATCAAAAGTTTGTGAGTGGGTCATTTTCAACTAGTGATTCTATCTCCCTCACACACAAAAATTCAGAAGCCCTCCAGTTAGCAACTGAAAAAAAGCATTACTGCACATATTCTATTATACCCATTAGGTTTCGGAATAGTTAATATCAATTCATAATATATTTACATCTCTGAATGTGTTGTCTTTTTCTTTGACTACCACTCCTCTTTGCAGCTTAAGCTTGTGATTGTCAACACTGAGAAAGAGATCCTCTTACCCTCCTTTGTCTCTCTTCTCTCTGGTTTTACAATCACAGAAATAACCTTCGAGTCAGTCTTTATCTAAAGTGTGTTATTAGAGCACACTGACACACAATACAATGAAATGTGAAGTAAAATATATCACACTAAAATATACCTTAATAAACAAAGAAAACATACTTTTGCATGACTACATCCTGATGTATGAACTGGTCAACAAGGGAGAAGGAAGCCATGTCTAGCATATGTATACTGCCACCTTCTGTTCCCAATAGAAGTTGGTCACCATTCAAAGACAGACAGCTTGTAGACACAGCCTTCATCTGTCTGCAATACACCAAATAACAAAGACATCAGTTAAAACATCCTGAAATATAGCACATGGAATCCTCAGAAATCACTGTCAAATCATTGCCTTCGCATATTTTCATCCTTGCCTAAACAAGCATGAACATGTGATGCATATCATATGAATACATGTATTGAATAAAACTTCTTTCTGTGTGGATTTATGTACATCCACAACAGGATAAGGTCTTAAAAAAATCATTCTAGTAAAATATAGATATTTTTTATATTTATATGAAGCTGTGATTGATCCTGCTGATGAGAAAAACGATGTTCCATTCTGAAGCAATCACTAGCTGCCACATCATACTGGAAGTGGTTGACGGCTTATCTTCATATCAGTGTTGGTCACACATAAAATGTCTGAAGATATTGTCAAGAGGCAGGACTGACGGATGGGCCCTCGGACGTCCTAATGCAGGATAAGTATACAAATATCAAGATTTTACTCAATTTTTAGACTTATCCTGCATTACTCCTTAATGCATCTGTATCCTACAGCGCAATTCTTCTGCAATTCATAACTGATCAGCCAATCCTGTCCACAGAAAGGTAACGAGAGTATGAGTACGTCCAGGTAAATAAACAGTACAAGACAATAGTGTGCGCTAGGGTCTAGAAACTGGATAACCAAACCATCATAGCGTAAAAGTGTGATTAATTGTCTTTATGGCATCATGGGTTGGTCACTTGCTGGGATACAACCAGGGGTCCCAAAACTGCAAATGCCCAAGACATCTTCTTAAGCCACACATGACCTCAGGTAGGGGCTGGCAAAGACTAATATTTTGACCTCCCAAAACATCCTTCCATGATGGCTCTAATAGAACAATTACTGTGTAGAGCCATCGTCGAGGCCACCACCCAAATCTCATAGGGGTTATCAACTCTCATTGGCTCAAGATTAACAATCTCGTAAGCCTGAAGGATGATAGCTGGTAACCATAAAGAAATGGTATTGCAACTGAATTCTGAGAAACCGGGATAAGCAACCATTTTTGCATGCCACACCTTGTGATGAAAACTTGGTGTGCACGCACTGGGCATAATAAGAGTTCATCCTCATCTTCCTTCCCCACGATGGAAAATAAAGGTGGGCTAGTGAAAGAATGATCGGGTTGTCCTGGCAACTGGTTTACAGCCATAAAACCCCCGCAAAACTCGAGGTAGACTGCTCAGGGCGTACCTCGCTCAAAGGGAGTGATGTCGAGCGCATGAATCTTGCTCACTCTTGCCGCCGTTGCAAGTGCCAAGAGAAAAATTGTGTTTATGGTGAGGTTGAAAAGAGGCTCGGACACACAAGCATTTAGTTCCATGCAAACACTGAAGTACCACATTCAAATCCCATGCAGGGGGACAAAATTTGGCCTTCTGATCCTCGAGACTAAATGAGCGTAAAAAAGTTGCAGTTCCGTAATCTTGCTCATTTTTCAATCGTTTGGAACTGCCAACACTGAATATAAAGCTACAAAATAAGTGGTAATGGTGCTACCTTTCAAGTGTCGTTTGCTACGCAGGTGTCAGAGATACTTGGCCAAGAAGCTTCCTGCAGGGTCTCTTAGGTCCACGAACCACCCTCTCACTAGCCAACAAGACGTGATCAGAATCAGAGCGAGGTTGCCCTCATCTTTTGTGTCATCTCGTTGCTATATGGCTGAAATAATGCCGATGCGACATTAAATTTGAACTCACTCGGGAAGGAGTTATGGGGGTGGAAAAGCGTATGCTTAGCTCATCCCCCGCCAGGCCTGCGGATCCGGAATTGGAGAAACGGAAGTTCGGATCTGGAAGTTTTGGCATGTGGCCGATGTTGGCTTGACCTAGGCTCTGACATAAGAGATGGTATGCCTCTCATTCTGTGGGCACCACTTTGTCTGCATAGGGCGTCTGTCTACAGATTCCTACAACCTGGAAGCGCAGACCCAGTCGATCCACCAGGTTGATCTTTTGTATCACCCTGGGAAGTAGAACAGGAAGTTGAAAAGCATATGCTTTCAACCCTTCCCAGGGGAAGCTGAATGAGTCTAGCACCCAAGCCTGCGGATCCAGTAGCTGGGAGACATACGTCATAAGTTGGGTTGTTTGTTGTTTAACGCCGCAATCAGCAATGTTCCAGCTATATGACGGCGGTCTGTAAAATAATCGAGTCTGGACCAGACAATCCAGTGATTAATATGAGCATCGATCCACGCAATTGGGATCGATGACATGCATCAACCAAGTCAGCGAGCCTGACCACCCGATCCTGTTAGTCGCCTTTTACGACAAGCATAGTCGCCTGTTACGGCATGCATTGGTTGCTGAAGACCCATTCTACCCAGGAATCTTCACGGGTCTCATAAGTTGGTGGTTCTGGTAAGTCGCAAACAGGTCTATGTTTGGTTGCCCGAAGTGCTGAAGACAGAATTCCTTGGTATAACTATACACCCCCTCCCTTTAAGGTTTGGGGAATAATAACACTGAATGAAATTTTGAATAAAATTAATAACAAATTACAAAGTCCAGATATACATAGCAAAGGGTCATTTTCAGTTGCTCCAAAATCAATATTTATGGCTGTTGAATCCTATAAGTTACAGTTGCTTATGGTCTCAAGTATTTTAATCTTGCATAGAAATGATTCAATTTATTATTTCATACTTATAACCATAGAACAGTACACTTAAATTTTCAAAATATATCAATGATTCTCCGGACCATTGAATGCAAAATTTAAGGACTGTGCTAAATGGAAAAATAAAACAGTTAATTTGCAACCAAACATGGAAATCCCTCTTTCATTTTGTTTTGAAGTAGACATCATCAAAAGTATACAAAAAATTAGAGAATTCTAATTGTTTTTCATTTATGATTTGGATCTGTCCATAACCCTTAAAGGGGCACTGATCTAAAGCAATTCCCCGGGACTGGTTGTTGCCTTTGTTATTGTTTTTTCACATTGAGTACCCGGATGATACGCAAGGCAACTGAGCGTGACCAGAGACTGGGCTACTGTAACGACAGCTAAATAAATATGGAGGCAATATTTGTTTTACGCATTTTTGAACACTGATTGGTTAACTGATCTTTAAAGATTTCAACAAAGGGCGCATGTTAATTAATTTCTTCAGCCTAAACAAACAGAAAAAAAGAACGGCGGAGCTCATCGGATGTCGTCATTTGGAAATACCCCAGATGGTTATAGTTTAAAAGAAGTATTTGTCACAGAGTGACGAAATATCCCCCGCCTGTACACCATAGTACCAAATATGAAGACAATCCAGCGATTAGTTCTTGAGATATTGTGGCAACACCGTTTTCCAACTCCAAAAACAGATTTGCCTGCTGTGACCTTGAAAATGGGGTCAAGGTCACCAAATCTGACAGGTGTATGCGGTGTCTGTATATACACCATAGTTCCAAATATGAAGACAATCCAGTGTTTAGTTCTTGAGATATCGCGGCAACACCGTTTTCTAACTCCAAAAGCAGATTTGCCTGCTGTGACCTTTAAAATTTGATCAAGGTCACCAAAACCGACTGGTGTCTGCGGAGTCTGTATATACACCATAGTTCCAAATATGAAGACAATCCAGTGTTTAGTTCTTGAGATATCGCGGCAACACCGTTTTCCAACTCTAAAAGCAGATTTGTCTGCTGTGACCTTGAAAATGGGATCAAGGTCACCAAAACCGACTGGTGTCTGTATATACACCATAGTTCCAAATATGAAGACAATCCAGTGTTTAGTTCTTGAGATATCGCGGCAACAAACAGGTGGGACGTACGGACGGACGTACGGACGTACGTACGGACGGTCGTGAATACTATATCCCCCGCTTCGCGCTTTCGCGCGGCGGGGGATAAAAAAGTATCCATGCAGTGAAAGCATTTTCGGATTTCAGATTGCGTCGATAATGCGATTACTACTCCCTTGTTGTCGTCCACGTTTTCTGGTATAACCCTACACTTGTGTAATTATTGTCATTCACTTGATGCTCAGTTAATGAATTTATTACAGGTACAATTAGTGGTAGCACCACTTAGATTACTTGACAAAGGTTCCCATTTGGCATTTATTGTGTCTGGGGTAATTATTCAATCTAAATCCAGGTTTGAAGTGAGGTGAAATGTGTGTTATGTAATATACACGTGGCAGCCAAGCAAGAGATGAATGATCAGTTGATTTTACTTTTTTTGTAAATCAACGGATCGTTCCTAGTCATCAAAGGATTAACAGAAAATACGTTGATTGATTAATCACTGTTATCTCGCACAGTGGATATGTCAAAAGTGAGTGTTTACATGTCTAGGTTTACTAAAACAAAGGGAATACACTCATATCATGGCGTGAAGTGCCGATGTAAAAACAACATACTTTGTTCAAAGGGTTAACTGATAATACGTTGATTGATTGCTCATTGTTATCTATCACCCAATGGATTTTTTAGGAACCATGGATGTTATGAAAATAGTTGTCACGTGGGCTTTCTCAGTCGACCATTGAGACTTGACACCAATGTGAAACACCTGAAACAATCTAAGTGATCAATTGAGAAACGAACACGGGTTATAACATCCCGAAACGATATATATCTTTTAAAATATTTGATTGTTACAGAGACACATGACATCGAATAAGTTTCTTTGTACAGCTGCAGACGAGTGGGATATTGTTCCTTTGTGTGGATATTCACAGATACATTCCTCGAACAAGGAAGCTGCCTAAAATTATACACAAATTTGGTAGGTTGTAATTATGGTATTTGCATTTTGTTTTCCTTCATTTGCTGTAGCATTGAACCGATTCATTCTAGTTCCTCTTCGTCTTGGTTGGGAAATTCTTCAATGCGCGATAGACGTGGTTTTCACAAGTGTTTTCCTTTATAAGCGTGTATATATTACCGTCAATTTGTAAAATGTGATTCTCTCAGGCAATTTATAAAATGTGTAAATATTTCAGTCATTTTGACTGAAAAATCTGTCCAGATTGACTAAAATTGATTAAGACAATCAAAAGGGCCTAAAAACATTGCAACAGATTATTATGTAGGATTAGAAGACAAACAACATAGAAATGTACTTTTCAACATAAAATTTTCAGTCTCTTGGTGAAGACATTAAACATCAAAATGTTTGGAATTCGTTATCATAATAATACAGATGGAAATGTTTTTCACTCAATTTGTAAAATAACTGAATATTTAGGCATTTAATAAATTTGAAATTGTTACACATTTTGACAGTAAAAAAATATACACAATATAAAAAAAGCAATGCTCAGGTGAAATATTTACTTTGTGTTGCAAGTCAAAATACTGTAAACGAAAATCGCAAAATTACCAAGCAAATGACTTATCAAAACTTCGTCACCATTACCGATGCTATTCACAAAGATACCCACATTTCCTTATTATCTCGAAAACTGTATTTCACTTTGTTGATCAATGTGACCATACGCCCTTATTACTACCCATAAAAGTGACTAATGCGCTTACGAATGGCGCAGCACAGGTCATCAACTAGTCTAGATTTCTGCTATACATCCGGGTACTCAATGTGAAAAAACAATAACAAAGGCAACAACCAGTCCCGGGGAATTGCTTTAGATCAGTGCCCCTTTAACAGTCTGCAGTAGCACAAGAAGCAGGAAAACTGCATGCTTGGCCTTTCCATTTCAACAAACGACATATTCCAATTGACAGAATCACACACTTCACACTTTTACAATCATAATTACACTAATGTTACAGGTTGTAAATTTGATGGATTTTTTTACTTAAGTGTATTGGAGTTTGAAAATAACTAACTAAATGGTTTATTGAAAATGGTGCCAGTTATGGCATCAGTAAAGAACATGCACAGCCCAAGTTAAAAACCATAAGACTGTTCATGCAAAAACATTTAATATATGGGGAACCACCACAATAACTGAATAAGCTGAAGTTTGCACACATCGAGTCAAAACCTGATTTTGACAAGAATTTGATTTGAAATTTTGACCATATATCTCATCTTGCTAGGCATTCGCATTCAAAGAATAGGCTCAGCTCCGGCTGGTAAATCAAACATACTTCAGTCAGGCAAATATCACTGCAAAGTTCCTGAATGACAAACACTCAAGTTCCTTTGGAATTGATCTGATAATCTTTGTCTATTTTCTTTTTACAATTTGATTTATCACTGACACTATACTACTTGAACAACTACAAGGACAACATGACGATCATGTCGCGATACCAACAATATTGCATAACATTCAAAGAAAACCCAATGATGCCTAAATCGTGATATAAGGTTCAACAAGTATTTGTCACAGAGTGACGAAATATCTCCCGCCTGTACACCATAGTACCAAATATGAAGACAATCCAGCGATTAGTTCTTGAGATATTGTGGCAACACCGTTTTCCAACTCCAAAAACAGATTTGCCTGCTGTGACCTTGAAAATGGGGTCAAGGTCACCAAATCTGACAGGTGTATGCGGTGTCTGTATATACACCATAGTTCCAAATATGAAGACAATCCAGTGTTTAGTTCTTGAGATATCGCGGCAACACCGTTTTCCAACTCCAAAAGCAGATTTGCCTGCTGTGACCTTGACAATGGGGTCAAGGTCACCAAAACCGACTGGTGTCTGCGGAGTCTGTATATACACCATAGTTCCAAATATGAAGACAATCCAGTGTTTAGTTCTTGAGATATCGCGGCAACACCGTTTTCCAACTCCAAAAGCAGATTTGCCTGCTGTGACCTTGACAATGGGGTCAAGGTCACCAAAACCGACTGGTGTCTGCGGAGTCTGTATATACACCATAGTTCCAAATATGAAGACAATCCAGTGTTTAGTTCTTGAGATATCGCGGCAACAAACAGGTGGGACGTACGGACGGACGTACGGACGGACGTACGGACGGACGTACGGACGGACGGTCGTGAATACTATATCCCCCGCTTCGCGCTTTCGCGCGGGGGGGGGATAAAAACTAATCTGTAAATAAAGGGGGTACATGTTCAAATGAAATAATACCTTTGTCAGAAAAAAAAGTGGAAATAACATGATCGAGATCAGTCTCCCTTGGAAGAAAAAAGATTCCAAAGAAAGTGGATATTTCAAAATATGTACTTATATTATCATATTAGGGGCCATGATAACTGAAATGAATACCATTTACATCAAGATGTACATAATTTTAAGATGAATGGATATGATATTTGGGAGTGATTGCAAAAAGATTTTTTTTTTTAAATAATTATGCAGGTGTATATGTAAACTATCAGTACCGCTGATAGTTTAATACAGGCAGGATCAGATCTATCTAGTATTCTCCATGAAAAAAAGCAATTATCTGGCCAAACTGGTTCCTGTGGGACAAAAGTGCCAGTGAACAATTTTCTGGAGGTATGAAAACAGTCACATACACAGAAGCATCTGAACTTAGGAATCAAAAACAAATTGTACATGTACAAGAAAACTGCGTTATCACTATCCCTGCCATGAGGCACATTACAAATTTGTTTCTTCATATAATAGTAAATAGAAACTGTTAAAACCAGTCCTTATGGGACCAATTTTCGAACTAAGTCTTGACAAGTATCTCTTAGATCTATAAGCATGCAACTTTTTATTCATGCAACTTCAGTAGTTGCTGAGAAAACTTGTCCCAATTTCACACAGTATGCTAGGGACATAACCCTGTAAAAAAACGAATGAATGACACCAATGTTCGAACTCTTTTGAGATCGTGACCAGTAACATCAGTGTGTAAAATATCCTTTCTCTAACTTGGACAGACGGATGGACGGCATTACAAAATCTGCTGCCCCAGTTTGTGGTGGGGAATAATAAAACTTAAATTAATGAGGAGAGAACTCTTATTAAATGAACTGTTGTACATCACTTAATGTTGCTCTTTGAATCAATTCAGCAGTTTGAGCATTAAGCTTACATAGGCTCACAAGACTCACTTGTAATCTGCCAGAAAGATTTCATTGACCTCATCCAGCACAGACTTTCCACTGCGTAGGTTGACTTCCCACAAATGTAGTGAATTGTCACTGCAGACACTCACCACACGACCCTGAAATATCAAATGAACATATATATCAAGATATTGGAGAGAAAAACGGTGCAAAGAGTCCACAAAAATAGGTAACAGAAAGAAGAGCCTTCACCATCGTCTTCAAAGCATCCAAAATCTAAACAAACCACCATGCAATTTAAGTCTGAAAATATGTCCGCAATGTTAATAAAGAAATCTTCTTTATATGTAACAAATACCAAGTCTGAATACTGAAAATGTATTTTCGGCACTGGGACTCTTTTTACAAACAACCTTGGCGCTAAGGTGATGATCCTGAGTCAGAAGATTTTAACCTTAGACATTTATCAAGGATGATGTCCTCTTCTACAAAACAACTTTAAGTAAGATTAACTTTAACTCACTAAGGTTAATATTATGTATGTATTTATTCAACGTAGTTTTTCAATAAAGAGGTTTATACTATACGTTAAATATTCACTTTTGATACGTAACAGTTTCTTGAAAAAACCCTTTGAATCCTTCAATGAAAGTAATTACAAGAAACGATCTCAGGGTAAATTCATACTTCATTTGAAACAACATTTCAATATCTTTGTTTAATGATATTTTCCCATCCTGTTTATCTCCTCAACTGACAAAGTGGTTATTTTCATATGAGATGTAAAAGATAGCTGATATTTCTAAAATGTAAACAATACCATCAGCTCACCTGAGTCTGAGGCCCTTATAGCAACAAATCAACTGTCTAACCTGCAACTTACAAGATCTGTTGTCAATTCACAAAACTTCAATTGATACACCCATAAATGAGTCTTACCTTTTTGGACTACAAGTTATTTGATAATGACATGCATTCTCACCTGCTCCTGTAGAAAAAACATCTGGACAACTGAAACATCATTTTCATGCAGTCCACCAAATTCCACACCTGGAGCTCCATATCTAAGAAGAAATTAAGGAATTTTACTTTCCACAAATTGTTTCAAACATACATCCTTGGGAATGTTCTACAATAGGCATCATGATGTGATCTGTAGTAAATATGTCGTCCGACGCATTAGTCACAAGTTCCTTCCCACAACTGAAAAAACATTTTGTGATTGGTGCTCACAGCTCACACAAACCAGCCAAGCCAACAAGTAACACATGTTACCAATTACACAATAAGTATCACATTAGTTTGCTGTACTTGTTTATTGTTTGCAATATATCAAATGGCAATGAGTGGTAATTTAGTATAATGAGGTTATGTATTTAGAGTGAGTGAGTGAGTTGGGTTTAGTGCCGATTTTAACAGTATTCCAGTTAAATCGTGGCATTTCAGCTGAATGTGGGAGGAAAACCAATATGCGTTTCGGGGCGATAGATGCGATGTTGCCATCTAGTTCAGGAGTCGTCGCTAGATAAGTCATCCCATGAGCTCCTGTATCAGCTATATTGAATCTCGGCATTGAAAACTTCTGTCTGCAGATGGCCCCGAATGCCTGATTGAACCCCTTAATTAAATCCAACATGATAGCTGGTAGTGGTAAGGTAACGGGAGAAGACAGGTTAGATGTCATCAAGAAACCCCAGTTGATGTCGTCCTCTGAAGTACTACGAGGTAGATGGGTGTCCTCGATCCAGGTGAGGATTAGGGTCGGCTGGACTTGGGCGAATTTGCCCGTAAATGACGGAGGTGAAGTCTTCCTTTCAGGAGAAGCTTCTGACGGAGAAGTTGTATTATTATCTCTATCCCTTATCTCCATTCCTGGTGTCATTGTAGTAGCGAGTCCTGTGTCTGTCCTCGACTGTTCAGGGCCTTGTTGTAAGACTGTCGAAGGGATTAAGATCCCGATTTGTTCAGATAAATCACTCTGATCCCGAGAAGTCGATAGGGGATTCGATAATGGAGGAGCCGTACGAATAACCGGGTTCGACACTATAGGTAAAGAGGGAAGTGTCACAATTGGAGGGTGCGACTTGTCTGAAGACCGCTGGTCTGTGTGCGTCCCTATCAGTGACTCAGAAAGTGAGTGTGAGGAGGGTCGATCTCATTCCATCTGTTGATCCTTATATTGATGTCAATCTCGATGTCAATGGGGAGGATATCATAAAATGAATAATAGTCTGGTGTCAAAGGGATATTCAGGGTAGGGCCGATATCGATGGACTCAGTATTGATCAGTTGTCAGAGATAAGGATAGTATCTCAAAGGTTGGTATCGGTGAGATCACGATCGATGTCGATCCCCGTCGACATCTCTCTCGTAACCAAAGTGCCGAGATGACTGTCAATAGGGATAACGCTGGGAGTCTGAATCGGATGAACGTGATCAGTCGAGATGACGATGTCTTACTGTAAAATGAGAACGCCTCAGTTCGTGTCCATACAATTGATCAGTCGAGAGGTGACGCTCTGAATTGGAGTAATCTCCCTGTTTCAATGTCAAAGTGTGTTCCTGAGACGATCGATCTTGAGGAGAGTGATCTGAATGTTGACCCTTAGAGAATCGACCTGTAGAAAGTCAATCCTTATCCGATCGATCTCGAGATCTACGACTGGAGGAAGTGCGTTCATTGGAATGTCGACCCTTCAAAATCAACTCTGAATGTCGACCCTTATCTCGGCGAATGTCCTTGGGTCTAGACTGCTCTCTACTTTTTCTGTCCGGTAGGCGATGACTATGCCTGGATTCTGCTTGAGTCGATAGTAGTCACAGTAGATAATTCCAGAGTGGCTTGGTCGATCAGAGTAGAGCTATATCTGCGCAGTAATGTCCGAAGTCGATACATAACTTCCAGTAGATCGGGTCTGAGAAGATAAACATATCTCGGTAGACTGGTCAAAATTTACTGCCAGCACCATACGTTTGTCGGACATATTTGTTGACAGCGACTTTGTTGTAGTCGGTGGACTGCTGTTAGACTGTGAAGAACCAGCAGCCACTTCGTCGTGCAGAACACTGTCAGAAACGGTATCTCCTTATGCACATTTGCAGACAACTGTACACAGCAGTCCACTGCTGAAGATTTCAATCTCAGCTAAGAACGTAATCTAAAATTTAAGCCATCTTACAATCATGCTAAGATCAGTGTGTGAAGTGGAACAGGACAATCGTATGGTGATTGTAAAGTTGATAGTAGGCGCCTAAGATTGATTGTAACTAAGATTGTATATCAGGGTCCACTTGCACAAAACAATGACCACTTGTTATAGATAGTGTAGGAACAGGATTAATTTGCATAATTCAGTACGCCTTTGTGGACAAAACATTTCCAATGACAGGAAGAAAATAATTAATTTTAGGGAGCTATTGATTCCCCTGCAATTTAAGCGATTCCAGGGTATTATGAAGAGCGTAAGTGTGAGGGGTGACTGTGGGTTCAAGTGTAAGTTGGCACAGCGAAACTTGTTGATGAAATGACAAGTTCAAGATTAAGATTAATAAGAGTCAATTATTTTTTAAGTTGTGTTGAATTTATGGCTCTCTGCTATTATCAGTGAAAATGTACAGTCCATACTTGCCAAAAATGGGCCGCAAAATTTGTAAAACATTGGGCCAAAGGATCATGGAAAGAATTTCCTTCCCCATCACTGTGAATGTGTTATCTAAATGTTCAGCATAAACATGCAATTTTTAAAGGAGAAGCATTTAGTTAGTGTTAACGGACACAAGAACAGACAGACATACAGACACCATGCAAAAACACACAACTTGAACTGTAAGTTCAGGTTAGCAAAATAAAAATCTCATTCATTTCACATGACATTTGACACACGCAATTATGTCAGAAAGATTCACCAGGGATAAGTAGGAGGTAAGTCTCCAACATCTGTCATAAGCTCATGGTTATGAAAACCAATTGCAGCGCTGGATCAAACACATTCAGCAGGCACTGTCAAACACCAACAACACCCTATGATGTAGTCTGTAGTATTTTGTTCCAGTTGCACTGGTGAAACAATGCCCCGTGGCATCAGGGGTCATCGAATGTTCATAAGCTCCTCCCTGGGATCTATCATCTGTACAAGCAATGTCATTGAATAAGCCCAAAGTTTTGAATATTTGTTTACTAAATGCAGCCTGCGGCAGTGCATGTTATAGCAAGCACAAATTTATGAAAGCTTTTATTTTCAATATATTTTTTATTTTGTCTTTTTTTTCGTAATTCAAGTGGCTAAAATGATTGGTAATGGAAACAAATATACATATATCATCTTTTAGATTCATTAATTTTCATTATTAAGCACAGGAATGCAGTTTATAAGGTATATTGGAGGTGAACACATCCAAATCTCGCCAGTGTTAGGGTAGGTTACCCAAAACTCTATCCTTAGCCCTTTGATCCCCTTTACAATCAATCACCCCTTTACGATCATTAGGGTTAGGTACCCGTTTAGTGCTTAACTATCATCAGGGTTAGGTACCCGTTCAGTGGCTATCATAGATTCTATAGTAGCTTCTAATATTCTTCACACAAAAATGTTGAGAAAGCAGGGTGAATTGTTTTAGTGACGAATATTTTGGCTACTGAAAACTGTCCTTGAACATTCACAAGCCACGTTTACCCGCTACATTTAGTCAATACTGTTTTAAAAGTGAACTCACCCTTTCCTTACTATGAACTATAGTGTTCGCTCCCATACTTTTCTGTCACAAGGATCACTGACTAATTATGAAATACGTCATTCATGCGTACCCATGAGTTCGTCGTCTGATGCCTGGAGCTGTTTTCAATTCGCGCCATAACGGCTCATTCCTCACCACTCGGTATCTTGTTGATTACGGAATAGGATGAGTGTGCCGAATGGCATCAGGATCACGAAAGTGTAAGTAGACTAAAATCACGAGACACCATGCCTACACATAAACTTTGTAAGTGTCCGTCACCTATTCAACCCTTTTCATTCAATTCCGTAACGGTGTAGGCATGACTAGGTAAATTTGCACTTAATTTTACAGTATGGACGTAGCCGAGTCGGTTAGCTGTCGGGCTAACAATACACAGTAGACAATTTTATGGATAACAACTTCTTTAATACTGTAAAAAGCGACGTTTCGGTATAGATCAAGCAAGACTCCACCGACTATATATATTCTCTACAATGTCCCTCATTCAGTCTTGCTTGACAACGGTATAAGTATCTATAACGAAACGTCGATTTTTACAGTATTAAAGAAGTTGTTATCCATAAAATTGTGTCTACCTTGTCATCCATCAAGTAATGCCTATCAAACAATTTAACAATCCAAAGGTCGCAAGTTCACGTCCGGCGGATACTCACAAAAACTGGTTGCTGTCTTTGAGACATGTGATCGTCCTCACAAGAAGTTGTGGTACTGTATTCTAAAGGTGCTCTGAGGATCGATATCCAGTCATGGAACGGTATAAGTAAGATAAGTTCTAGATTCAAACAAAAGTTACTGGAAGATGGATACTGAGCCCCCTAGTCTGGTGTAATAACTACCAGAGAGGTCGCAGGGACAGTTCCGAGGTGTGGTAATCAGGTTCGCCTGAGGTTTGTGATTTGTTGCGTTACCACCAGGAGACCGAAAATGAACCTCTTGCACATCTCAGAGTTAATTACTGGCGAAGACAGTATCCGAGCGGCAGAAAACAACCCTCCATAATACATTGAATGGAACAATTGCTGTGAAGAGCCATAGTCGAAGCCACAGCTCGAATCTCAAAGGTTGTTGACTCTTGGCAGGTCCAAGCCTGATAGTTCATACGCCTGCAGTATGATGGAGCACAGCCACAGTGCGATAGTGTTTCGACTGACCTCCACCGAGATCCACGTTGTGTCTTAGGGCACACTAAGGGCACAAAAGTTGTTTGTCCTCATCTTTGGGTCCTACTATCGAAGATAAAGAACGGTAAAAGATCTGTCTGTCATGGGAGTTGATTTTTTGCAATGAAATCCCAGCACAGCCTGAGGTTGACAGCACTGTGCGCTCCGCACTCGAACCTTACTCAGGAAATGTCAAGGGCGTTTAACTCGCCAAGGCTAGTAGAAATTCCATCTTTTTGGTAAGATTGAAAAAAGACGCCAAGTTGAGTGACTTTAGTAACACATTCAAATCCCAGGCAGGGGGACGAAACTAGGCACATTGATCATCCAGTCGAAATGACTGCAAAAGTGATTGAAGTTCTGGGATCTTGGTCATTTCACGATCCCTGGAAGTAGAACCTGGGGATGGGCACATGTAGATAACCATCCTGTTGGCCGAAACTGATCAGGGATTCGTTGGCATTGATTCTGGTCCTGAGCAGTCTTATGTTCACAGCGTTATGAGGGTGAACCGGTACCCGTGGCTGAGGATGTTTGTGACAAATATGACCCAGTTGGCCCAGAACTTGCCCAATCACCGACCATAACGACTGGCGGTGGAAGATCCTAGACTTTGGGTGCCAGGTGTAAGTACTTCCCTCTGCGGTCACCACTCTTGAACTTTTGTTGGTGATGGCCGAGTTGAGAGTTGTCTTGTGGTTGAGTGAGAGCAATCTTAACCTCTGCCACGAAAAGAGGAGTGAGTTGTCTGAGGGGAAGCATTTAACGAGCTACGCCTCGGGTGATAATTCCCAGTTTTTGCTGGTTTAAATTTGGATTGGTTGTAGACGTGCTTCAAGGCTTTTAGCGCTGTCTCATCGCGGGCAAAGCTGGAGATGCGTGCATGAGTTCCCATTATAGTACCATTGAACACAGAGAATGTGCTCCAGGTTTGACGTAATAGTTGCCTCTTGAATTGGGAATCCCAATTGGTCAGGCCAAGGTAACCTAAATGCCTGGTGGTTGTGATCTCGGCCAAGGCCGCCTGTAGATGGTTGCGTAAGTGGTCAATCTGGCGCTGCTGAAACGACATCATGGTCCTCAAATGATCGATTCTGAAGGGATTAACCTACGAGATATCATGTTTTGGACTAGGTTTCAGTGATCTCCTAATTTCCGTCTCAACGAATGCAAGCCAATTATTGGGCATACGAAGAGTGGTGGACCTAGGAGCCCATAATACAATGTAGGTTTTTGTCCAATGTATGCGCATTGTCCGCGATTTCAAAGGTATGGACGGGAAAATCAAGTTTCCTAAAACAATGAGCTCTGAGTGAGTGATAACTTGGAAAAATCATCATCTTGCGCATCTTAAAAGTCCAGTTTCCACCCTTGTCTAGCTAGGCTGGAATTCCTGGGCTCGATCGGAGCGCCACCAGTGGTTATTTCAAGTTATGTCCATTCTAAACCTCTCCTATGGACCAATCAGATTCCACCTCTTGTACCACTTGCATTTGTTTCAAACGAAATGGCGGCGCCCAGTCAAGACGATCTGATCGATAATGAAGACCTATATTGTGATAAAACGGGTTTTACATCGCGAAGTGCATCAAATCACGCGAGCACCTTGATTAAAAACATGAAATGATTTGAAAAATATCTGTTGACAACGAGTTGGTGGTGCACATGCTTTGCAAATCCTGCAATCGACCAAGATCTGCACAACAGTTTACAAACCAGTTTTCGATTTCGGTGCGCGATTGTGATTGGACCATGCATAGACTCGTTAGTACAGCCAAAATGTAACTCCATAATACCAACCTAGTTCGGCAAGGGTGGAAACTGGACTTTTATAGTCAGTTAACTCTCTTGCCTCGGGGAGATGCATCTAGCGTGGCATTGGCACTTTTAGAAAAGCTAACGAGATAAATGACAAGGTATAGAGTATAAATATACACTTACAACAGGCACCTGATAGAAAGGTATTTAATACATGAAAGAAGGGCTAAGATAGACTCTGAATTATTAAAGCACAAGACATGTAAACACAACAGCATGGCCAAACAAGATAGAGGGAGGTACAACACACATGCTCGTGAAAAGCACGGGAAAACCTAAAGTAGGAAAAAACATGTTAGTACACCATAATAAACTCTACATGATACGTCTGTACAGTCCAGTGACTAGCAGTGATGTGATATGTGACGTCGCTCACAGTCACGTGGGGTCAGCTGTGAGGGTGCAAGCCACACAACTTGGTAGACACAACTTGGTAGGTACAACGTTTTCTGTAGCCACGACCTCTCACAGCTCCGTTTCCCAGGTCAAGAAAAGGATAAGATAAAAAATAAGATGTGTTGACAAAAAATGATTTGATAAGATTTTGTTGCCTGATATCAAAAGCAGATGATGTAATGAACTGCTCACTGATAGATGTTGAAAGATCTTTTGGCAGAAAACATGTACTGTTTCTTACTGTTTTCTCTTGACAAAATCTCAGATATTCACATAAAAGTTTAACAAAGGTGGATTGTTACTTACCACAAATATAAAGAACATGTAAACATGTGTTGTAGGTCAAATTCAATATTCATGTTCCCAATTCTTTGTGAAATACTGGTCGTTTACACCAGAGGAACATGTTTTTGCACATCCAATAAAGCATAGTTGTATAAACAAACCTCTCACACTGTGTGGCTGTATTATGTGTACTCAATCTGCCAAAAAAATACAATGGATTTGTTTGCAGATTCTAATTGATACGTAAACCTGGTTTCCTGATGGCTTCAATCTTACCATAAAGTATTACTCATTCTTATTTCTCGTGTTTGGTAATCTCAATGATATGCATCAAACTTGACAATGGCATAAACTTTGCCATAAAAAACATAAACAGGTCGCAATCTATTTGTAAAATCCTTTACATTCAAAATTTTACAACCAACCTTAACATGTCAATCAAGCAATTTGTACATACATCAACTTTTCTCGCACCATGCATATCATAGAACTGAAGGATACATTTTCACAGCCCCGGACTTGGTTCCAATTGCCAATAAATTTAGCTTTGGGTCATATGCCAGGGCACTGGGTTTGCTTGGAAATCCATGGTCCACACACTGAAAAATAAGTACAAAAACATTAAACTACACAGCTATTAAAGAAAGTTGAACAATGAACACACACATTTGCTCATACAGTGAATACAGTAACAACAGAAAACACCTTTAAATTTGTTCTATTAAAATATGCAGTAAATGGCAAATGGTTTTGGTAGGTTAGGGAAAATTAAATGCCACATGGTGTACCAATTAAAGGTGCCACAACACAGTCACACCTTGCTCTGCACCCTTCTCAGACTTACAACTGCATCTCAGAAGCTCTTGGCATGTCTTAGCACGAGTCATGGCCAGCAACGAAATGCAGGTCTTTTCATATGTTGGTACAATGCAGCTGATGTGGAAGAACGAAATCAATTGATCTACCTGTCGTAATGAATAAGTCGTTGGTTGCCTCATCAACTCTTGTACAGATACTGGCCCAATCATTCATTAATACCACAAAATGCTGAATGACTGGTACAGAAAATTTAAAATCCCAATCGGACATTTGCATTTAGGCCACGCCCCCTTCAAATAGCGTATTTTAGTACGACTTTTCACACACATTACAAGTTTACGTATTCATAATATGATGAATTATGAATTGTTTCAATTTAAATTGTTTAATTCACCGGACAATTAATAACAAATAATATCATTTTAGATTTACATGGAAAACATACGTTTGTTTCTTTTATAATAACGATCTGTTAACGTAGTGAACGGTCTAATTAATATTCATGAGTTATATTCATGAGTTTGCTCAAGTGTACGCGTTGTAACATTTGGATCGAGACTATTATCCCATATTTGGTTATCACGTGACCTCACGGGAAATGTTTTTTTTAATCTAAAGATTTTTTTAAAAACAAGACAGATAATTTAATCACAAATACAAAAATATCGTTGATAGCAATAGTTATTTGAATACTTTTTTCATCTGTACTTATTTATTGACCATAAAAAAATTGGATATCGATTGTCCGAGAAAGCAAAATGGCGGTCAATCAAGATTCAATATACGACTAGCTACTGAAAACAATAAAATCTGCAAATCCTCATTGTATGTCAACCAAGTGAAAGTCGTTAGCCACGACTTACAAAATGATCGTCCAGACTTTGAGGGTTTGGCAGATCCGCTCGACTAATCTGCATCGGTCGACTGGCTGTCGTCTCGCTTTCGCTTCTTGTCTGAGGTTACGTATCGTAGCATTGTGAGGATAATGAGGTACATCGATGATGCAAGGTATTAATGTACAGTTGTAAACACCTTTCACTCAAATTAACAAGATGTTCTCAGTAATTAATCCTCAATTAATCAGTGTCAACTCAGTTTATTGCCTATTACAGTGATTGACCGATTGGACTATCATGTAGGTACGATGTATTTACAGCAATCAAAACAAACAAAGCTTGTCAGTGTAGTTAATCTTCATTGTGTTGCAACTGCAGACAGAAACTGCTCAGTCCTAACTGTTGATCATGTCCGGTCAAAATTTCAGAATGTCCGGACAATACTTTTTAAAATGTCCGGTAAGCAATATTTTAAAACGGACATTTGAGATTCCCAATCGGACATGTCCGGCGCATATGACGGTTTCCGGACCCCTGGACTGGTATCATGTTCATCACATCCTGTTTGGCTGGTACATCACCAATGAGATTAAAAGCCTCTGTTGCTTCATCAAACACATTCCATGTTTCCCATCCTGTTTTTTTCTTTCCCTTTTCCCGCAAAGAAGATGTATGGTCACAGCCAGTAAAGCTCGAAGTGAACAGGCTTTCTCTGGTCTATGGACTCCAGCATATCTGAATTGTTTGCCAGTTTCAAAAGCTATCCAGGGCCCACTTGCACAAAGCAATCTTAGGGCTACGACTATTGTAAGCCTATGTTAAAGTATGGGAGTTACCATCATCTTAGCGCTAAGATCGCTGTGTGCAAGTGGGCCCACAAGTGAGACACATCTTTTCTGTCAAACAATGCAATGGCCAGGACAATGCAATGGCCAGGGCAATGCCATCAGTATCAACTGCTCCAATCGTAATCCAATCACGACCTTGTCTGGCAGCATTAGACATGTGCAAAAAGAGTCTTCTGTTTGCTTCTTAAACTGAACATGGATGCAGATCATTGACAAAGTCTGATGACCCTTTGGCGTACAGAATCTGTTTACTTGTAAGTACACATTATTTGTTTATCCACACTTTCTAATGAAATAACTTGTTCAGCCAAGAACTTAAACAGTTCTCTGTTGTCCTCATCAATTCTCCAAAATGCTGGACCGTGAAGATCAAGGGTAGAATAGATCTTCAGCAACCCATGCTATGCTTGTCGTAAGAGGGAACTAACGGGACCAGGTGGTCAGACTTGCTTGATGCATGTCATCGATCCCATTTGGATCAATGCTCATGATGCCAATGACTAGATTGTCTGGTCCAGACCTGTTTATTTACAGACCCCCGTCATATATCTGGAATATGGCTGATTGCCGCGTTAAACAACAAACAAACAAAATCAGAAACGCCTCCCATGTGTGAAGAATTTTGCCGTTCGGTTGAACGCAGCATGTGACTTCTGTTCCTTGTTTGCTTCTTGCTGTTGCTTTGAGACTGTACTCATCACAAACAAATGTCAAGTCTGGACACACACTTAAGCTGTTTTTGAACAAATGGAATGAAAACGTCTGTTGAATATATGTTAGGTTCAAAATTCATCCCTGTCCCACTAGATCTTTGCAATTTCACTATTGCTGCCCCATCTAAGAGTAATGCATAATCTCTAGATGGCTATTTGTACTTGTAGAGAGTGTTTCTGTACATGTTGTGAGATCACTTCTATTGCCAGAATGTAGTTTGCCAAACTTTGAGACTGATTGACAGGTTCAAAGTCTGCAAGCTTGCCACTGTGTGCTTTGACAGCCAATTTCTTGTTTGGTTTTAGTAGTGACTTGGATGTCGGCAAGAAAACAGACAAAGTTTGTTCTTTGAGATTGGTTTATAAAGGCTGCTAGTTTTCTGATGGATGTTCCTGTCCAAAGTTGTTCAACTGTGTTGCTGCACATTGTTCCACCTTTTGAATTGTCTATTGTAGTACTTGCAATGATGTCGTTCATATCTAACAGTAACAGCTTCTCTCCAGAGATGGGTTATCCATATCCTCAAATATACACCTCGTCATAAATATCGCATCTCACATTTTAGAGTAAAAGTAGAAATTATAATTTTCGGTTTTTTAAACTACAAGTACATATTTCATATACTCCACCATCTGTGAACATAATATCAAACACACCCTGGCAGACACAGCTAAAATTTGGTTTTAGGCATAAATTAAGCCTTATTTTGACCAATCAGTGAAATGCCCAAGCGTCCAGTGCCTCGGAACCAAAGATGGCAAATTATTGGTATGCACAGACTTGTATGTCATGTCGTGCTATTGGAGCACAACTGAACATTAATCACACTGTCATCAGCAGGCTAATACGTAAGCATACTGCTTCCAGTGAAGTGAAGGATGCACCGAGGACTGGACATCCCAGAAAAACCAATGACAGGGAAGATCGTGCTCTCGTACGCCAAGCCAGACGAAGCCCTAAGTCTACTTGTACACAGCTGCGACATGGATGGCATCCATACAACAGAGTGTCCATCAGCACCATCAGACGACGCCTAAATTCTGCAGGATTGAGAGCAAGACGACCAATCAGACGTCCACTCCTCACAAATCAGCACCGCTATGCCCGTTTAGCCTGGTGCCAAGCACGTGCTCGCTGGAACCTGAGGACATGGAGAAGGATCCACTGGTCCTATGAAAGCAAATTTTTGCTGCATCATACAGACGGGAGGGCACGAGTTTGGAGGCAGAGAGGCACAGCATATGATCATGATGATCAGAGGAACCTTCAAGCTGATGTTCCATTTGGGGGTGGATCCGTCATGGTGTGGGGGTGTTGTTCCTACGATTATTAACCTGACCTCATCACAGTTGCCGGAACACTGAATGGACAGAGGTACCAGAACTTGATCCTGGACGGTGCTGTTGTGCCTCATTTCGATAACCATGCTCTCTTCACACGTCCAGTCTTCATGGACGATTATGCCAGAACACATTGTGCTCGAGCTGTTGTTCAGCATCTCCAACACAACGCCATTGAGACACTACCCTGGCCTGCCAGAAGTCCAGACATTAATCCTATTGAGCATTTATGGGACATTTTGGGACGTAGGGCGAGAGCAAGGGATCCTCTAGTTCAGAACCTTCAGGAAATGACCCATGCATTGCATGATGAGTGGCAGCAGATTACCCCAACAGAGATTCAGACGTCTGATGACCAGCATGAGACGGCTTGTAGAACATGTTATCCATGTGCGAGGCAGTTACACCAGATACTCAGTTAGCCAGTCATTGTGGACCTTACTAGTGTGTTCGACATTAATGAAATGTGAACTGTTGTGTGTCTGTTGTAACGACTCTGGCAGCCATACTTATTTCACGGTGATTTTAGTGAACTTTAGTTTGCTACAATTAAACCCTCAATTAGTGTTCAAATTCGGTCTTGTGTTGTCAATTTTTCTGACTGAATGCTCACATGAGGCCATATAAACAGTTTAATGTGCTTTTCTATGCACCATTTTTATGAGGTTGAAGATCCAGTTTTACTTAGTGAAAAAAAGGGGGTGGTGCGATATTTTTGACGAGGTGTATACATCACAAAGTGATTGGACCTGTCTTTTGTTTGCAAAACACTTCTCCTCTATTCATGATGCCTAGCATCTAGTTCTGATTGCTTTCTCAGTAAATCTTGTGAAGCCTCAAATCACCATCAACATGTGCCATTTCTGGCCCTGACACCATCCGTCTAAGTAGCTGGGAGGAATTCTCTGTTAACCCAAGACATTTCTTTGTGTTGTTTATGTGCTTGATCGATTAGTAACATGAAAAAAATGAGTGTTTCTTTTCACAACACAATTCCCTTTCTTGAATTCCTCTTCCATTTTGAGATGTATGGGAAGATTCA